AAAAAAAAAAAAAAAAGATAAAAAGTGATTATCTCACCTCTTTAACACGCTAGGTCCCGTAACAGTCCCGTACTTCCCACTCAGATCACCAACCTCACAAGTCTGCGGCGCCGCGCTGTTGCAAGGCGGACTGTCGCCGCGCAGGTAGGAGTCGAGGTGGCCGGCTGTGTCGGCGCAGTTACCGTCGGAGGGGACGGCGCGGACGTGGACATGGTATTCTACCCACAGGTCAGGTTAGCAACTGGTTCTAAAAAGACAACTTGCGGAAGAGATAGAAGAAGTAACGTACTAAACGGCCCCTGATCAACCGGAAGCCCCGTAACATCAATAGTATAGTTGACACCAACGGTATTGGCAACGGCGGTCACGAAGCCCTTGACTGTGGGGGAGTCGAACTTTGCAACCCACACTTCGCCGATGACGGGATTATTACGGACTGGACGGGCGTCTCCTAGCTTGCCGGTCGTGTTGTTGCTTGCCTGGCCGACTGCGAGAGTGGCTGTGGCCAGGAGGCCGAGGAGAGAGGTGAGTTGCATTGTCGGGTCTGTTGAGGTTGACTAACGGCGTTGTCTAGGTTTGATGTTTGGGGTTTTGGGTTGGGGAAGAACTGGGGAGCAGCAGCTAGCCTTGCTTTATAGACATTCTTCAACAGAGGCCAGGGAAAAAAACTGCAGGAACCGACGAACAAAGACGCGTCTCAAGGCAATTTAAATTTGGGGGTCCGACACACATTACCATCGGACGTCCAGAGCACCTGCAAGATAGAATGGTGATGGTCCGGACATGATCCCGGGTGATCTGGATAAGTTCGTAGTCCGGCAGTGCCAAGCCACGGCTTGCTCCCGCTGCATCGCACTCAGCGGGACGGTTATGCTTGTCGAGGTACAGATTGGCGCGAATAAACGATATACACGATAGAAAGAAAAGCAAGGGTCCGTAATATCATATACATCAGTGGAATGCTCGGGATTGCGGTTCCGGTTCCGACCTTACTGAGGCGGATCTGAGTTGGTGAAAGCAACAGACGGAACAGAGAGACCATAGCAAAAATGGGGAGAAATCGGATAGAGATTCGCCAGTAAAAAGGTCCATGGGTATCGTACTAGAGTAGAAAGACGATGATATTTTGAAACCCTACAAAGGGTCATTGAAGGAAATAATATAACCCAACCGCCTCGAATAACACGCTGGCCCCGGAAATGTCTGTACAAAGCAAATACAACCCGCCTCTATGCACACCTGACAAAACAGCGTCTATTGCCTCATGGCTATAGTATACATCCTTGCTCAACGAGGTGTTGGAAGTTCACTGGCCGATGACCGGACGGGTAACTCAACGGCATTGCTAATATCAAAGGCCGTAGTAGTGTCGCTGGCACTGAAGTTGCTTATTTCCGTCTGTCTGTTCCTCTTAAGGACATCATCTTGGTGATCGAATAAGGACTTGCTGATATGATAAGGAAGGGGGCCAGCTGGTGGCGGTGAAGGCGGCATCGTATTCCACATTGAGCTTTGCATGCTCACATGTCGCATACGGTCCGAAGTCGAGACAGCTGTTGGTGACATGACTTGGGCTGGGACATTCGAGTGTAAAGGTTGCAAATCCGGAGCGTTCGGTACTGGTGATTCCGGGGTCAGAGCGATAGAACTGGGAGCATCTGAGTTTGGACCGCTCGGATGCTGAGGTTGCGAACGTCTCCGCCACCACAGAAACAAAGACGCTACAATCCCACATATGACCACTGTGATGCACACGGCGATTATCACAACGGCCGTCGTTGAGACTGTCGAGTTGGAAGAGCCAGAGACTGAAGATGGAGAAGCAGAGGTCTTCGTAGAGGCCATTGCAGAGGTCGCTGCGGATGTTCCGTTAGTCGTTTTGGTGCCAGTTGTGACAGCGGTGCCGGTTGTCGACTTATCGGTTGACTGGTAAACCATACGAACACCATAAGCATAGATGGCATCGGGGCTTTTGAGTGTCTCCGACGTTGTAACTGTCTTGCCGTTTGGTGATCTCGTAACATCGGTTGAATAACCTGCCGCTGGTGCCGTCCAGGCGCACATATAGTCCTTCAACGATGAGGCAAGCTTTGTAGGTTCTGCAACGCACGAAAGCCAGACAGTTGGTCCACGCTGTGGACAGCAGGTTACTGTCGTGATCGTAGAAACCCCCCCGTTGTCATGGCATGCAGACATGTAGCCGTTGGGGCAAACCAAACCAGGTGAGAAGAAAGCGGTCTCGGCCGAAGACCAGCCACTCGGAAGGCAGCTCGTTTGTTGATCGATGAGATAGACATCGGACGACGAAACCCCGAAGCACTCCCCCGGCGGGGAGAAGGTGGTTGTCAGTGGGACATGATTGAAAGATGTAACCACCAACCTGGCGGCAGGAGTAACCGCCGGTGTTGGCACAGATGTTGGAGGAGGCATGGCTGCTGGTGTCTCTCAAACGTTCATCGACTCGTCACGGCGCTCCCGTCTTGCTCTCTGCTGTTGGAGTGGAGAGTTTATGTGTGACTGGATGCTTGGCGTTGGAAGAGCCTCAACTCTCGATGGACACAACACTCGAAGAGAAACGGGGATGACATGGATTTGTAGACTCGAGGATGTTTGCAACTTACATATGCTTTCTTCCTGGGGCACATAACACAATTCAAAGCTTTTCTGACCATGGTCTTCTCGATCCGGATGTCGCACGAGGCGGTATTTCCCCCTGGTCGGTTTGTTGGAACGGGACCTCATAAAAAAGGGTACTGCCCCCGTCACGTTTAACCATGTTCTTTGATGGATATGGCCGTAAAGCAAGGGAAGTGAGGCATCGTGGCCAAAGAAGCCGAATAAAGAGCCAGACTAGGATGTTGCTGCAGTTCGGGACTTTTTAGCCATTCTACGATGGAAACAGCCCTGTATGAATTGCGAGCTGGAGGAACATGATCGAGGGATGAGCGTGACTTCAGCTCCGTGTAAATGAGTGTGTAGTGAACTTGTTTTCTTCTTCGGAATGACGGAAATGGTGATAGGTAGATGTTGCGGCGAGCGGTATGGTGAGTTCGACCTGAACAACCGTGTTGTGGTGATGAGATATCCGATACTGTGAGAACGGCATGTAAATATCATGACAATGCCAAAGACTTCTTCGATCTTGCCCTGACTGGGGTCGCAACTTGTCGCCCTTTGAATCCTAGCAACAAAGAGTAGAAAGAAGAATATGCGGTGGTGAGCTTATGGTTGTCAAACTGTGCAAGGATCACGACCATCGCGCGAGCTGTTTGTGTCAATTTGTGCCATCCCGTCCGGGGTGGTGAGGAATGAAGAGAGTTAAAGTTGGAAGCGGAATTGAGTTGCCATTCGTTAGTCGTTGATCGAGACCAGAAGTTCGAGGCAGGCGACGGCAGGCAGTCAAGCGGGCAGTCGAGCTTCGATCTCATTGGTTGGAGCTTGCAGGCGGATGAGTTCGATAAGATAAGCAGGTTTGCGAAAGGGCGGCGCGGAGCCACGGAGGGCGTTTTATCCGGGATAACGCACAGACCAGGCACACAGGGCACACGCAGCACCACCCAAATTTGTCAAGGTGGGCAAAAAATCCAAGCCGAAAGCTGGTCAGCGTACGATCTTCGACCTCACACATCAACGACCGACGTCCGAATCGCAAAAATGGTCAACGTACCCAAGACCCGCAAGACCTACTGCGCTGGCCGCTCTTGCGGCAAGCACACCCTTCACAAGGTCACCCAGTACAAGGCCGGCAAGGCTTCGGCTTTCGCTCAGGGAAAGCGCCGTTACGACCGCAAGCAGTCCGGTTACGGTGGTCAGACCAAGCCCGTCTTCCACAAGAAGGCGAAGACCACCAAGAAGGTCGTCCTCAGACTGGTACGGGAGCCCGAATAGGAATCGCGAGATATCGAGGGATAGAGGCTAAAAATGGTGAATCTACAGGAGTGCTCCGTCTGCAAGCAGAAGAAGCAGCTTCCCCTCAAGCGCTGCAAGCACTTCGAGCTCGGGTAAGTTTTTTTCCGTTCAATGATTGAAATGTTTGGGATCAAGAAGACACGGCGTTATCACCGGGATCGAGGAATATGCGACATATGCGCGACAAGAGCGACAATTTTCGCTGCCGAACTGCGAGACGATGGACTGTAATCATAACCCCGCCGGGCACGAGGTCGAGAACCGCACGATGGCGAACCACCGACACAGCTCGACGCGATGTCAACGACTCCATACCGCATTCAAAGCCACGTTACGCTTGGGAGATGTGTGAAGGATCGGTGCGCCAAACGGCCGCTGTTTTGTTGCTATCCATCAACAACAATTAGGACTGTCGCCACACCTGGTTTCTTCGCATATCATCAGGTTGGACCCGGAGGAGGAAGGAGCGACAGGAACAACAGAAGAAACATGCGACCGATGGAGGTTTCGGCCTAGGATCATCGACATGAGATACTGCTCTTCCTGGACCAATCACCAATCTGCGCCACCACGACACCATCTGGCGACATTCCACGATCGACGGTTGATGATGCTTTTGTCTTCTTGGCCCATAACTCGTTTTTTGTTGGATTGGTTCTAACGTGTTTGAAACTACAGTGGTGACAAGAAGACCAAGGGCGCTGCTCTCGTCTTCTAAACGCCTTCCCTGGGAAGAATGCGGTGGTAGCGAGGTTGAGAAACCGGCACTGGTTTTCTTGACTGGTCTTGCATGGGTTTGCCGTGTCGTGGCGTCGAAGTCAACGGACTGGCTTCGATGTTGGCACGGGAAAGTTGGTCTTTGAGGTACATGTACAATGGACACGGATGGTCGGGTGCGGGAAACGAACAATACCATCTTTGGGGCGTTTCGTCTGCGGTTTCTATCTACCAATGCTGCCACCATTTTCCTCGCAATTTCCTCTGCGCAGTTCCTCCACCTAGGGCATTTTTTTTTGGTCAAGGGGTGATGTGAGATGTGTCCCGACGTCACATCGGTCTCGACCAGTGTGCTGGAAGACGGAGTCTCGAGACATGCTGCTGGCCAAAGAGCTCATGGTCGTTATCCAACCAGCAAGCCAACCATGCGGACAAATACTCTGGTCTCGCAACTGGAGTCCACCAACAATCAAATAATAATATCAGCAAACCACCAACATCCCGAGTTCCATACCTGTCCCATGTGTTTCCTACCAGCGGCAGCGCGTATTCTCATGTTTGGCAGGTTTTGGGCGTTCCACTTCCAACTGCATGAACCATGATGACTACCACAGTACACAAGTCTTGCAAATATGGCCGACCCAGGCTATGTATCTAGACGCCTCATTATCACTCACGATGGGTGTACCTCGAAACGCATATGGCCTCGGCTATTTCCTCGACAAGCTGCTAGATACCTGCTTGTTGGTCGACAAGTCATAAGCTGACATCACTTGAATGACCTGAATCATGATGGCTTCCACTCGGATGAACCACATCTCCACCCCAGAGTGCGCCGATAACGATAACCTTAAAAGCGGCAACGCCCCACGTCCCTGTGGGGTTGGTGGGGAGTGAATGCAGATCGTGAATTCTCCATTCTTTCTTTCCGTTTCAATTTGTTCCCCGCTTCTCTTCTCCCCAACAGTGAACTTGTTTGCTTTCCCGTCCAGATCTCAACCGTCTCCTCCATTCCAATCCCGCCAACCAGTTGGTCCGTCACCATCACCACGAACATAACTGCATCATTGCAAATGCCAATCTGAGCAGCATTCGCATGTGCGTCATCTGCCAGGGACGGGCAGGGGAATACATGGCAGCCCATCGGCTCGTTCTTCGGTACCCTTTCGCGCCGTCATGAGCGCGCACGGGAAATCCCAATGTTGTTGGAGTTGGCGCGCTCACGTTCCATCGCCATCACGGACGGCTCGGCTGCTAGCAGCAGACGCCCTTTTTACCCGCCGACCTAACCCCGCGTCTTCGGCATTTGTGCTTTAGTTGGCAATCTACTCAGCCCGAGGCAGCAGACAGCCCTTGCTCCCCGTAACCCAGGACCACGAATGACTTTCAGTCTCATGGGCTGCGCAACAATTACTTTTCCACCCGAAGCCCAGTGGCCAACACCAGAAACACCGTCTCGGCATCATTTCGAAGGTTGCAACTCCTCGTTGGAAACTTACGCATGGCGCTTAACCCATGTACCCTTAGCGGCTCTCATCATATTCCACCATCGCTCACAAGTGGTGTTGCACATGTTCTCTTCTCACTCCTTTCTCTAGGTCCAACACCCTCTGACAGTACCATGTTTCCGCGTGGTTTGACGAAAAGTCAGATACTCATGAGCCCAAATCACCACCATCGATTGTTCTCAGTTTGTCAAGCCATCAACTACGTACACCAAGTGGTATGCCTGTTCGTTCAGTGACAGGCAAAGGGCGCTCCCGAAGGCCCAATCTCGGGATCTAAATGCAATGCAAAAGAGCCATGGTTGTCCATATTTCGTTAGCCACAGCTTTCTGGACCTTCAATATGGAGCTACAGACGGCGGCATGTTGTGATCCACCTCTGAAACCGTTCGCCTTGCCTCGCTCGCCACTGCCGCGGTCGCCAGAACACTGGCACTGAAGAACGTCTTGCCCTATATCGTACGGCCAAGAATATCCAGACTTCCTCCATTACCTCAAGTGTTGGTCACCGAGGTCAAGGACCTGGTGCTTGCAAATAGGGTACGGGCATACCAAAGGTTTGGTGGCGGGACAAACACCAACACATGCCCCTTTACTGTTGTTACACTGTGCACAACAGGATTATCTATGCAATGGCGGTTTCCCTTGTCTGCACAAGTAAAAAAATTATATCAGGACATAAAACATGGGCGGCTCATGAGAATCAAGGAAGTTGAGAAGGCGGCGACTAACCCTAACCCCACTCGTGTAATGCCTGCCCAAGGTTGGACCCCAGCGCTAGGAAGGCTGGACTAAAAAAGAACGGAGTAGCCATGCAAGTGGAACACTCCAAAATTTCTTTTGTGGGCCGTTTGTACTCTGCCTTTGCCTTATAGGATTTTTTTTCTTCGTTGGCCTCACAATCATATTCACTTCTTCACATCCAGACCCTCAGTGTCACTCTCACCACCACACACAGTTTCTCGTCTTTGATCCTTCTCACTCGCCTTTGCGGTACCTCAGTCAACGATTCATCGGCTCTTTCAACCATTACACAACACACAACCGCAATTATGGACAGACTCGCCCAGAACGACACGACCATGCAGAACTCTGACGCCCTTACCGAGGGTCGTCGCATCTACATGGGCAACCTTCTGTACTCCGTCAAGCCCGCTGATGTCGAGGCCTTCCTCCAGGATGCCGGCTTCACCCAGTACGAGAAGATTCACATTTCGGTTGATCCCCTTAGTGGACGGAACCCTGGCTACTGCTTCATTGAGTTCACCACTCGTGAGGAGGCCGAGCGTGCCCTTGACAGCCTGACCGGTGTTGACCTTTGCGGACGTTCCGTCAAGCTCGGCCCTTGCCACCCTAAGACTTCCTCCCAGCGTCGCGAGGGAGCCTCCGCCTCCCCTGCGCCCCGCTCTACTTTCGATCGTTGGGGTGACTGGAGAAGCGGAAGCAAGCCCGCCGCTACCGAGGAGCGTGAGCAGAGGTCGTATGGCACCCAGAGGCGCACTGGCAGTGATGCGAAGGAGGGTGTTGTCCAGAACAACAAGAGACTATATGTTGGTGGTCTTGGCGAGATGATCGACCAGGAGCAGAACGACGCTGAGATCCGTGAGATCTTCCTTGGATTTGAGATGTGAGTCAACACAAGAGCCCCCTTGTGGTTGGAAGCAGCCCAAATTCGTGTGCAGGTGTATTGACTGAGATAGCGTGACCATCGGCAAGCGTATCGCTCCTAACCCTCTTTCGAGGCCTCAGAACGGCAGCGGTAGCCACCACTACTGCTTCGTCGACTTTGCGTCCGAGGAGGAGGCTGAGCGTGCCATGACCGCAACCAACGGCAGGCCCATCTTGGGCGGCACCCTTCGTGTCTACCCTGCCAAGTCCAAGGCTCCTGTCCGCGAGTCTGAGGAGGGTTCCTCCTACAGGCCCCGCGGTGAGCGCACCGAGCGCACCGAGCGCGGTGAGCGTACTGAGAGGGCGGAGCGCCCCGCGAGGACCGACCGCAACCCTGAGCGTCAGAGGGAGATCCTTGGCGCCAGGAGCTGGAGGACCGGCCCCAGCGCCGTTGCTGCCGAGTGAACCACATCATGATCGGTTTATCAAGCGCTACTGTCCACGTCGGCACTGATGTGCCCTAGTTATACCCCTCCGTCAAATCGACCTTCAGGGAGTCTCATCCCGGTGATGGAGACAAACACTGAGGTCGGAAGCCGCCTCGCGTTCGGTGGCATTGTGAGCTGGATGATACATGGCCATGCAGTTGCTTGAACTGGCCCCAGACTCCCGCCATTCGATGCAGTACAAGGGGCTGAAAGGACGGATGCATGAGCGGTTCCATGCGAAATGCCGAGCAGCCAGTGCTGCAAGTCATTTGTCTTGGTCGACTGAGCTCAACCAGGGCCGATGACAGATGAAGGGAGGCACTAGAGAGGGAATGGATGGATGAAGCATACAAAAAGGGGGTCTCATGGTTGCGGGGGAAGCGAAAAACACCCAGCGGGAGCAGGGTACCGATGAATCATTCAGAAATTGCCTTCGGGTTGTACAACCACATCCTGTCCCCAATGTGCCTTCTTTCCCCTCTCCGTGACGCGGAGATGCTTACAGGCCTCCTGAACTTGACTCCTTCAAGCCTCTGCTTTTCTCAGACTCAATCACCTTCATATCGTAAACTCTTTCTGCCACGTCCCATACCATACCGCTAACCATATAGGCCCCACAAGCTCGATTTTATTGCTATCCCCGACAACATCTCTACATCTGCACGCGGCTTCCATCTATCCGGGTCCAATGTCCAACTCCAACGATCTCCTAAATATGTCCTTCAGCTCCGGGGACAACTTCATCTCATCCACCATCACCCCGCCTAGTCTCGTCACCCTCACCACCGCCGCCGGCGATATCCCCATCTCCATATTCTCCTACACGCCCTACCTCCGACAACGAGAATGCGTCAAAGATTGCATCTGGCATTCGGGCTCTACAGCAACAGACCTCATCATTGCCCTTGGATGCAGCGGGCCTTGGGTTAACGAATGCTATTGCAAGGGCAACGGCAACGAAAACGGCAACCGCAATTACGAGCACGCCACTACGGCTAGTTCCTTCCTCAGGAGCTGTGTGGCTGAGAGTTGCCGGACTCCATCGGCGGATGATCTGGTTACGAGTGGGTTCAGTGTTTACAATGAGTATTGTGCCAAAGCGGGTATGGCTATTCCTTCGATTCCTTGGGTGGTGACGAGTGTGGCCGCCGGGTCCGGGGAAAGGGCGGGACAACCGACGGGTGTATTCGGGGCTGGGTCTGGGTCTGGGTCTGGGTCTGGGTCGCTGGGTACGGGTACAGCTGAGTTCAACAGTTTCCCTGTTTTTCCACTGACACTACAACACTTGCAGGTTTATCCAGCGGTGCGAAAGTCGGGATAGCAGTCGGTTCTACCGCCGCTGTTTTGGCGCTGGTTATGTCCGCTGTCATTACATGGCGTCTTAAGGTCAAGGCTCGTATATCTCTTTCCAGACGCAAGGACGACAACGAAGTTAAAGGGTTGGACGCCGGAAGAACTGTATCTCCTCAGTTGCAAGTTATCCGGCATAAAGGACTCCCATCAGTAACCACTCGTTACAACTGAGTAGCCAGATCGGTTGAATTCCCGACGTTTGGACGAACTATACATTACGGCGGACATGTATGCCGCGTGCATCACCGACCCTAACAGCTCTACCGGATATCACACGGCCCCGGCCTGTCGATGGTGAAATACGCAGCGTCATTGGGCCGCATCTACGCCATACATCTCTCCGCGTGCCGTTCCGATCTGTGCGGACGGGATCGTCAAATCGTGCATGAGACTTCTCCGCAGTTGCAGTTTATATCCGGAGCTCTTTTGAAAGGGGCAGAGGGGGAGACACCCGCCCCAATAGGGTTTCAGCCGCTTAATTACAAAAAGTAACAAAAACCTTGGGGTAAGGCGACGACAAAGTGGTAGTGACGAAGGAAACAAGGTGACGAAATGAACATCACATCTCATTATACTCGAAAGTCAACGGGATGAAGATACCGTTGAGGGGTTGCGTGCGGTGTTGGGCACGGGAAGGACGTGATGGGTTTTAAGTTTTGTTCATAAGGTGAAAACGGATGGGTAAACAAGTATATGTAGAGCCCACCAGTTCACACTCCACGTAGCTGTCTGTAAACGAGTTCACTCATTCACACAGTCAAGCTCGTCGCCTACCCGGCTTCTTGTGTATGAACCATGAAGCCACTCGCTCGTTCTACCATCCCCTTGTTCGCCAGTGTCCTCACAGCCAACGCCTTCCAATTCCCCGATTGCATCAACGGCGTTCTAGCCAAAACCAAAGCATGCGATTCCACGGCCTCAGCACCCGACCGCGCAGCATCGTTGGTTGAACAGCTAACCATCGACGAGAAGCTCGTCAACCTCGTTGAGTACGATCCAGTCCCTAACCCCCATCCTCATCCTCACACCTTTACCTTCAACGCAGAACTAACCTTCACCCAAAAAGCCAAAGCAAAGGCGCCCCCCGTCTCGGTCTGCCCCCCTACGCCTGGTGGTCCGAAGGCCTACACGGCGTCGCCGGCTCCCCAGGCGTCGTCTTCAACACTTCAGGCTACCCCTTCTCCTACGCCACCTCCTTCGCCAACGTCATCACCCTAGGCGCCGCCCTCGATGACGACCTTGTGTACGAAGTCGGCACAGCCATCAGCACCGAAGCCCGCGCCTTTGCCAAATTTGGTTTCGGCGGATTAGATTACTGGACACCCAACATCAACCCGTACAAAGACCCACGATGGGGGCGCGGGGCGGAAACGCCCGGGGAGGATCCGCTGAGGATTAAGGGGTATGTGAAGGCGATGGTTGCCGGGCTGGAGGGCAATGGGACGGTGAGGAAAGTGATTGCGACTTGCAAACACTTTGCTGCGTACGATTTGGAGAGGTGGAGGGGTCTGACGAGGTATGACTTTGATGCGGTGGTCAGTCTGCAGGATCTGAGCGAGTATTATTTGCCGCCTTTTCAGCAGTGTGCGAGGGATTCGAGGGTGGGGAGTATTATGTGCAGGTATGTTTCGTTCTTCCTTCCTCCTTTCCCATCCTTCCCCCGTCTCGTCACCCGCCAGAGCGGGAACCAGGTCGATATTGTTGACAACTTCCGCAGTTACAACGCCCTCAACGGCACCCCCGCCTGCGCATCAACTTATCTCATGACCAACATCCTTCGTGACCACTGGAACTGGACCAACCACAACAATTACATCACCTCCGACTGCAACGCCATCCAGGATTTCCTGCCCGACAACCACAATTTCAGCCAAACCCCCGCCGAAGCCGCCGCTGCCGCTTACATCGCGGGGACCGACACGGTTTGCGAGGTATCGGGGTGGCCGCCCTACACCGACGTCGTGGGCGCTTACAACCAGTCTCTTCTCTCGGAGTCCGTGATTGACACTGCCCTGCGCCGACTATACGAAGGCTTGATCCGCGCCGGTTATCTCGACCACGGTCGTCCCGCCAGCAGCAGCCCCGATAAGGCCCCGTTCTCTTCACCAGAGTATGACGCCCTAGACTGGAAGGACGTCAACACCCTTCTTCCCAGGAACTAGCTCTCCGTTCAGCAACAGAGGGCATCGTCCTGCTCAAAAACACCGATAGCTTCCTGCCCCTGGACCTAACCGGGAAGACAGTGGCGCTAATAGGTCACTGGGCCAACGCCACTCGGACCATCCGTGGTCCGTATAGTGGTCTACCGCCCTTCTATCATAACCCTATGTACGCGGTGCGGCAGCTTAAACTCTCTTTTTACTACGCCAACGGGCCTGTGGTCAATTCGACCGATGCAGATACCTGGACCGCGGCTGCCATGCTAGCTGCGGAAAGCGCTGATGTGGTTTTATATTTCGGCGGGACAGACACGACTGTTGCTTCTGAGGATCTTGATCGAGAGTCAATCGCATGGCCGAAGACGCAATTGACACTCATCGAGAAGTTGGCTCAGGTTGGGAAGCCGATGGTGGTAATCCAGCTAGGCGATCAAGTGGATGACACCCCCTTGCTCAACAACAAGAACATCTCCTCGATCTTGTGGGTGGGTTACCCAGGCCAGTCGGGCGGGACGGCGGTGTTTGATGTTTTGACGGGCAAGAAGGCTTCCGCCGGAAGGCTGCCAGTGACGCAGTACCCGGCTGGGTACGTTGACGAGGTGCCGTTGACGGAGATGGGGTTGAGGCCTTTTAACCACTCCTCCAGTACCACCTCCTCTGATGTCAGCCAGTCCGGTGTTGAAGAGGGCAACGGCCTGACAATCCAAACCCGCTCAACACGCGGTAACAAAACCCTCTCCTCCCCCGGCCGGACCTACAAGTGGTACCCCCGCCCTGTCCTGCCCTTCGGTTACGGACTTCATTACACCCCTTTTAACATCTCCCTTTCGCTTTCTACCTCCTCCAACGCCTCCTCCACCACAGATAATACCTCAATCTCCATCCGCTCCCTCCTAACCTCCCAAACCTGCACAGCCATCCACCTCGACCTCTGCCCCTTCTCCCCCTTCTCAGTCTCCATAACCAACACCGGCTCCCATACATCCGACTACGTCGCCCTCCTCTTCTTGTCAGGTAAATTCGGACCTAAGCCGGACCCGCTCAAGACGCTGGTAGGATACAAGCGGGTGAAGGACATCAAGCCGGGGGAGACAAGGGTGGTTGGTGGTGAGGATATCCCGGTGAACTTGGCTGCTGTTGCTAGGGTTGATGGGAATGGAAATACGGTGTTGTATCCGGGGACTTATAAGTTTCGTTTGGATGTGGACTTGGAGGAGGAAGGGGATGATGGGCTGTTGGTGGGGAAGAGGGATGTGGTGGTTGAGTTAGTTGGGGAGGAGAAGGTTTTGGATGAGTTTCCGCAGCCTAAGTCATAGGGAGTGAGTATAAGAAGGATGGGAAATGGATGGGAAGGGATGAGGTGGGTTGGATAGGTCATCGAAAGGCTGGAAGACCAGCTGGTATATGGGCTTGTATATACGATGTTCAGGTACGGCTCAAGTATGTACATTGAATGTCATCATTTTCAGAAGGAATTGTGACTTATAGATGCACGAATCAACCAACAACTCTTTCATCCTCTCCTTGGGTATCCCTAGCTCTTCCTTCCACTCCTCCCTTACAACACACTTCCTAGCACCCCTTTACAAGCACTGAGAGTACCAGTCGTTGATCTTCTGGCAAGTGTACGGGCTAACGCAAGCACTGCAGCCAGTCCATCCAATACCTCCGCACTGGCCCCAGCGCTGGCTGGTGCACCCACCATTGCTAGCAGAGCTGGTGGTAGCGGGGGCAGTCGAAGTCTTGGTAGAGGTAGCAAGAGTGGTAGTAGAAGCAGCGGTGGTGGTAACAGCAGTAGTGCTAGGCGAGGTGTTGTTGCCAGTAATACCGAACCACTCGAGATCATCTTGAGCAAAGCGGGGATGCTGTGGCTGACGCCGGCGCCGTACATGCCAACGAGGTTGGGGCCGTAGACGTACTTGGTCCAGCCGGAAGCGGGGTTGTTGGCGATGGTCTGCTGGGGCTGGCCGTACGTGTAACCGAAGACGCCGGCCCACTGTTTCATGGTCTCGTTGAAGTTCTGCGGGTAGATGGTGGTGTCGGCGGAGCCGTGGTGGATGAGCATCTTGGGGCGCGCGCCCGTGTAGCCCGGGTACATGTTGTAGACAGTGTTGGCCCACTCCTGCTGGGTGTGGATGGACTGGCCCTGAGAGCAGGTCGAGTTCCAACCTTTTTTATTTGATAAAATATTTGATTAGTTCTTCGGTCCAAACTATAGTATTTCGACGGGGATATGATATTATACTTACCATTAACGGTTCCCGTGTAAAAGCACCCGGCAGCCACGCCCGCGTAGGCAGAGCCGGCGGCGAACATCTCCGGGTAGGTGGCTGCCATGACGTTGGTCATCATGGCACCGGAGCTGGTGCCGGTGACGAATACCTTGCTGGCGTCGGCACCGTACTGGTTGATGGTATAGGTGACCATGTTGGCGATGGAATTGCTGTTGCCTCCACCGTTGTGGGTGAGAGAGGCCGGCGACGAAACATCCCAGCAAGTGCCGCTGTAGGGAGACTCGGGGTAGATGACCTAAATCAAATGTTAATAGAAGCTCTTGTTTATGAGAAAGAATGATAACTGACAATGTAGCCATATGTCTCAGCCAACTGAGCATACTGAGTGCCCTGGTAGTAAGCCGAAGCAGTGCCGCTGCAGTAGTGGATGGCAACGATGATGGCGGGCTTGGTAGCAAGCTTGTTGGGGACATAGATGTACATTTTGACGCCAGAGGGGTTGGAGCCGAAGTTGGTGACCTGCTGGAGCGAGGCACGCTTGACCATCTCGGCGGCGCTCGCGAAGGAGGCGCCGAGGGCCAGAAGGCCGGAGGCGATGGACGAGAACTTCATTATGTCGTCGACGTCGATGAGTGATGATACAGCTGCAGGGAACAGGTGTTTTCCTCTTGTCGAGAACCTCTTGGACTTTGACGCCGAAGGGATGCGTACCCTCCCCTTTTATACGTCTACTCGCGAGCACCATGGTACCAAACTTGGCTGGCGGCCTGGACCGGAAAGGTCTGGTCCATGAGGTCCATGGTGGATGTTACCATCACCACCATCATCCACAACGGCATGGCCGACGGTTGGCTATCCAGAGCCAAGGTCAGGCAAGCGTCAAGCCGAAGTGGACTCGATTACGGACGGTCGAGTTCCGGATGAACCATGATGGGTGAGGTTGCATGAGCCGGTCGGCAGGGGTACTGCTGTTTTCGGGATGGCTTCCGGACAGTCGGTCCAATGGCTCCAAGGCCGCACACGAAGTCCGGGGTCCGGGGAGGGAAGTGGCTAAGGTCCTCCACAGTTGGAAACTGGGGAAGACGGAGGCATCCGTTCATGTCCACAGATTCCACTGCTTGGCCATTGTTCAAGCCCAGGGGAGCATCGCGGCGGGCCTGACTTGAAGCGCTTCCATCACTCAAACAAATAACCCGTGGGTTCACCTTGATCTGTGGCGAGCATAGTACTCATCGTGAGGATCCTTTTGTGGTGCGAAAGCGCTGCCCAGGCAATATCATGTTCATGTGAATTCTTGTCGGTGGTGATGATGTAGGAAGGTTACAACTGAATGAGTTCTCTCCTCGCTTATTAGAATTTTTGGACTGTGGCTCGGACACAAATATGCATTCGTTGTGTCATCTGATTCTGGACAACCCCACGAGCCTCAAGTGCATCTGAATTCTTGAAAATGTTCTCTGGAAAAATACCCATACTGCGAGGTCTCTCTTGAGTGCTTCGTTACTCGTTTTGTAAGGCTCTGGGGATTCAAGAAGAGAGTGTACGACCCAAGCTCGAACCCGGAACCAAGGAGCTGCCTAACAGACAATAGAAGCAACGATGTACAACTGCACAGCAGACATTAGGTTGCTTGCAACCTCACTGTAAAAGCGCACCAGTACCACGTACCCGGTTACCACTTTCTGGGCCACCGCACCACTGAATCACTGAAACAATTGCTCACCATATCACCCCGTCCACAACAGCAGCATCCACATCGACAAACAACCTAACCAATCCCCTCCCGTCAGAAAGCCAAGATATTTCCCTTTCAGGAAAGTCTTTCGTCCTCGTCCGGCCCATCTTCCCACCCCTTCAGCATTCATTCACAGCCTCATCAACCGAGGGCAATCAAGCTGAGGGCATTCATTCGCACAGACATCTTCAACATTGCCCTTCTTCCTTTCGCGCACGAATCCTGGATTTGGCGGAATGCGGGAATGCTTCTAGCGCGCGGTACTAGGGAGTAATGGAACCTTCTCCGCATCCGTTGCGGGCTTCATGGGCTTCGCGGGCTTCACGGGCTTCACGGGCTTCACGGGCTTCGCTTGTTGTATTTTGCCTAAATACTGGGGTTACACCCGCTGTGCAATTGCATCGCCAGCGCTAGCATGGATAGCTTGTGCTCTGGGGCTTGGAGCTTGAGCCAGAGGAAGCAGTCCTTCGTTTGGACGTACTTGGCGGTCAAGGGAAAAGTGAGACTTTTTGCCAACCCCCTCTCATAGAAGAGGGAGAAATTTTTAATGGAACAGCGAAATATTATAAGATAGTGCCAACTGGTCGCATGTCAAATTGCCTGTTAACGCTGCGCAAAACCCCTCATTTGCATTGTAATTTCGTACTTTTATTACAATACAGTATATCACTTTTTATTGTAAATATATAGAAAAGAGTTGTCATGGGGCTGGCGCCTAGGAGTGTTTGCCTGGCTTGAACTCTATAAAAGCTAGGCCTGCCCTCCGACTGGGTGCACTCCTGGGGTGCGCCGCACGAACCACATTTTCGACCTTGGCGTTTCTAGCACCTTCGATATACGCACCTCTCTTGTGTATTTAGCTGTAAGCTCCATGCTATACTGGCACAGACTTCTCTTTTCCTCTTTGTCAAATATTGTCACTTTCACTAAGGTCTACCTGTGTGTATACCTCGTAGAGCCCTTACAAGAGTAAGCAGTCAATAAATCCATAAATTATTAGACAAGTAATGGATTTACTATTTAATACTTATTGATTTTAATAAATATTTTGAGGAACTAGGAGAGGTGCCCGTTGGGTATAAAAATAACTGTATATATTTCGCTATTTACAATCGACTTAATACTTTTTGTAATATAAGTACGTGTCATGGGGCTAGTGCCCGCGGCTGAAATGCCTGAAAATCTTACCAAGCGAGTGCTCTACTCTCGCGGCAGGCAACATTAGCTTGTACGCGCGCACGTCTCTTCTTTAGAACAGCCGGCTAGACTGCCTAGAGGGTGTCCTTGTCACAGGTTGTCACACGGACATTGGCCACAG